GAAGTTTTAAATACATTACTTATAGTTATTTTATGGTACTTATCTTTTAAGCCAACATTTGAGACTTTTGCAGTTATGTTTCTATTGCCTAAATCTTTTCTCTTTACTATATATTGCATTTTCCTGTTTATTCTCATATCTAGTAATTTTTGATCATATGTTGGATATTTTGAATAATGCACTGTAGATATCTGGATTCTGTTATCTTTCCCAAAGAATGTTGAGTCTTGTTTTGGTAGGCAGTTATATTACTAACATATCACCTAGAATATGTGGAGACTTGGCTTTATGTATTGTTAGGGTGGGTCTATTTTAGTTTTGTACTTAACCCAAGAGGATTTCCTTATTCCCATGACTTAGTCTTTATTCCTAAGGTGTGATTCCTTTGGGGTTTTAATGGAAAGTCTAATGTGTTTACTAGGCTCCTTAAATAGGCTGGACTCAAACCCCAAACTCTGACTCCAATTATTGGTGAACAGCAACTGAAATCTGTTTATTTTATTTATTTTTTCAGCCTTTAGCTGTTTTCCCCCTCTGGACTGCTTGGCATTTGTATTAGTCTGTTTCTGTTGCTTATAACAAAATACACAGAACTGGGTACTTTGTAGGAAAATGAAATTTATTGCTTATGGTTTCAGAGGCTGGGAAATCCAAAGTCCAGGGAACACATTTGGTGAGGGTTTTCTTTGGTGGTGGCTTTACAGCAATACAACGGTCTAAACATGGCAGAGAATGGCAGAGCAGAGGGAGGGATAGACTCTTCATGCTCCTCTTTTAAAGCCCTCACAACCATGCCCCAATCACCATTATTAATCCACTCACTACTGCACAGTCCTACAATCTAATCATCTCTTCAAGGCCCCACTTTTCAATTACCCTAATAGGATTTCCTATCCTCTTAACACTGTGAGAGTGGGGGTCAATTTTTGGAGGGACAGTCAATGCAAGGCAGCATTATACTGTACATTTGTACTTCAAGGAACAGCCAAAGGTTCAAAAGAAGTTTATACTCAGATTTCGAGTCTCTGCTGTGGCTCATTTTCTGAAAATTTCAGGAACTTTGGAAGTATCAAACTCCATGCTCTGACTCCTCAGACCAATAAAGTTCTGCCATCTCACATCCCTCAGACTGGGGAGTGGTCCCAAGGGAAAACCTCAGATTGGAGAGTGGTTTTAGGGCAAACAGAGATTCCATGCATTATGGTTTCCTTTTTTTGAGGGTTGATTCTCTTACAGTTTTTCTTGTTTTCAGTTACTCTCCCATTTTAAATTTTAAAAATATTTGCTCAGCATTTATAATTTTTATCTATGGGAGGGTTAGTTTGATACCAGAATCTCTGCCTTGTCTTAA